TTATTGTAGGTAATAATTTCCTCGTCGGTCGGAGTGATCATCGGGTGATCCCAGAGAATGTCCTTGAAAGCTGCCCAGCAAGTTTGACCAAGCTGGTCTCGGAGACGTTGAGAGATGTGGATATTGTTTGCAAGATGGCAGGAGGAAGTACAGGTGGAGGCCTCCGATTGTTAACCTGCTGGAACGCGATAGTCTGCATAACCAAGCATGCCATGCGCAAGAATTGGTTCAGGCCGTGGAAGTTGAGAGCCTTGAGCTGCGCAGTGCGGAAAGCGAAGCAGGGTGCCAGAGATGTCTTGCAGACTCATTGGAGAGTGGTATGGGAGGTGGTGTGAGGCAGGGAGACGCTACGTGTCCCTCCCGAACCGGCTTGCGGTCGTGTATACACTTGTGGTCTGATTGATTTGGTTTCGTCTCCCATCAGTGTCTCCCGTTTTCATCATTCCTCCGCTTGCCATCGTTTTTGTCTCTCATCAGTATCGCGGGTTTATCACAGCCATTAGTTTCGTCTCTAGAGAATTGATCCCAGCGGATTACAGGGTCTCGAATTCCTGAACATCCAGTCATGGTCTTTTTTTCCCCAGGTACACTGTTCTGCATTAGCTCAAAGCAGTCCATGAAGCCGGAGGCTAATGGCACAGAAAGTACAGGCAATGTACATTCTTCTCAAATTCAGTTCAAGTTCCTTTTCTTTCTTGACTTGATGCTAGCTGGCCGATGCAGGCTCAAGATCTCCTTGAATTTGTTTAGGATCTGTCTCGGTAATCCAGACCTCCGGGTGTGATCCGTGCTGTCAATGTCAGTCGGAGTTTGAAAAAGAAGGCGCACAGATCACACCCGAAGGTCTGGGGCATTTCGTATAGTAACACCCCCCATCGTGTCACATCTCTCGTCCTCCCTCCCTTCTGTGCGTATCCTACCAATACATATAGATGCTTAGATGTACTGGAAATTTTCTCTGTTTTTTTTACGCCACTTTGAGGACAGTCAAAGCCAACTGCAAAATCACATACTTTTGCCCTACTGCCCTTTCTTTTGACCTCCTGGAACTTGGGAAAAAGCCGGAACTCATTGCCTATTATCTAATGTATCCCAATATAGACTTACTTGTGGGCCCCCATCGACCTGTTGCACATACTGAATAATTTCGCCCCAAGGGTGACATCAGAATGTGACTCGATGGGAGGCTTCCGTATACGAAATGCCCCAGACGTTCTGGTGACAGTTCTGCACTTCGATTTTCAAACTCCGCTGTCAATCACGGATCAACCGGTCCGTGCGCGGGCAGCACGCAGAACTGTCACCTAGAACGTCTGGGTTACCGAGACAGGTTTAGGATCAATGTGAGCTGGTCGATGCTGTTGCATCGACCAAGCAAACATTGATCCGCATCGACCGAGCGAACATTGATCTGCACAGTTGAACAGATCCCTAATTTACAAAATTCAGTTGCATAAAATTAATACCTGTTGATGGCACAGCTCCAGGCTCTTTTCTCCAGGCTCAATGTAAGCTGGTCGATGCAGCCGCGTCGACCGAGTGAACATTGAGCTGTGCGGTTGAATAGATCCTTGTGTGTGTGTGACGGACAGACAGCTCCAGCCTCTGAAAAATTCTAGAATTATTTTGGACTAGACTGGTAGTGGGCTGTGCCGCTTGTCGGCCTTACTCGCTTTATATTCGTGTTCATCCCGGCTCCTCGGACACTTGCGTCCTGCCCCGGCATCGTTGCTAATCCATCCCATTTGTCCAGCTTAGTGAGTAAGCCACGGAGTACCTCTGCCGGCCATCTACGTCCTCGACGGCTCAGCCTCAACGTTTTAGCCTGCTGTGATCGATCATCCACCAATCAATTTGGTCTAGTTTGGTTCCTTGGGATGCGTCGCGTCCGTCACATGTTCTGATCATTCCCGGGATCTACCGGAAGTGTGTCCATGGAACAACTTAGAGCAGTCCCGGGACATCCGCGATGGACTCCTAGGACATCTAAGTGTTCTTGTTGTAAGTGTGTGAGCGGTCAGTGGACACCCGCAAGGGCTCCTCGGATGTCAACAATGTCTCCTATTGCCCATATGAGCGGTCCGGGGGCACCCACAAAGGTCCTCGGGACATCATAAGTATCCTATTCAACATAGTCCTCGGACTGTAGTAAGTCCTCGAACATGATCGTGTCCGGTCACAGTCCTTGTCCTTGGACGGTGACTTATCGTTCCTTGGACTGGTTCCATCCAGCTGTCTGTGTCTAACTTGGTACTTAATCTTTGTCTAGGCTTTTGGTTTAACCTCCTTGGTAATACCTAGCTTTTTTTAGTGTAACCCGCCCCTAGGTATAGGTTGTGAACTACATCTAACGAACTTCCTGATACCCCTCGGACTACTATGCCGACCCCCACAAAATGGGACCAAGCCGTAGTATGCCCCGGATAACATTACGGTTCTCTCAGCATCATTGATATATGACCAGCAGCTTCGGAGCTCAGCTCTGATCCTAATTGTATAGCACCGGGCAAGGTAGCCCTAGGACTCGGAATAGTCCTAGGACTCGCAAAATAGTGGGATTTCACGGTTAGCGCCAGACGCGCCGTATCAGCGGGGCACAAGGAGCAGGACCTCGTGTCGCCGTTCTTCGCCTCCGCCTCCTCCTCTCTACCTTCGTCCCCTTTGTCGACAGTAGCCCACCTCCCCGCCCTCTGGCACCGGTGCTCCGCCTCGCACACCCTGCAGGACCGTGCCTCCCCGAACGCCAACGCCGACGCCGAGGAGGAGGAGGAGGACCTCGGCCGCCCCGTGTGGTCGCGGCGCGCGGACCACGCGCCGGTGCTGGGTCTCCCCAGCTCGACGCGTGAGGTGGCGGTGCGCATGCCCGGCGCGTTCCCCAGGACGCCGGCCACGGGTTCCTCGTTCTTGTCTCTGTCATCCGCCTCCTTCTTCTCTCCCTCCTCGTCTCCTTCCTCCTCTGCGAAAGAGAAAGACAACTCTGCATCCAGCTCGACCGCGCTCAAAGCGAAAGCCGACGCACGGGCGCGGAACAAGCGGCGCAGCCCGCTGGACGCGGCACTGGCGATGCAGCTGCGGCCGGAGCTGGGGGTGGGCGCAGACGGCGCGTGGCTTGTGCGCTTCTTGATGAGCTTCTTTGGGTGGTTTGCGGTGCTCGTTGCGGGGGGGCAGGAGTTCAATTAGCGCTTCTCTCTCTCTGCACGCTGTGTTGCTCGGTGCCTCACTTTATGTTTTCCTTTCTTTCGCTCTGCTTCGACTTCGCTGCTCTACTTCCTTCGTCTTCGTCTTCATATTTCCGCATCTCATATTATCACGACACGACGACACGACTGCACGACTACGACCCCGCACGACCACGACCACGCACGCTACGCACATATTGTATTATCTGTCACTGGTTTTCGGTTTCGTTTCCATTTATGCATTCTCATCCACACATATCTCCGTATCTCCTCATATCTCCCGCATATCTCACCCGCATCTCATCCTCACGCATACCTCATCCACATCCACATCCCGCATATCTCCCACGCACATCTCGCAAAACATTCGGATACAGCGCATTTATTCATCGGATATATACACACACATTCACATTCCATTCCATTCGCCCCCCGGATTCGAGTCCATACTTGGTACATAGTACACGGTAATTTAATATGGCAGCTTAATTTATGTTTACTTTGGAGGTTGAAACTTGAGGATGGGGGAAGTTAGAGAGCACCGGTTACGAGGTCGGGATCGGCCCTACTTTACCGACGCACGTTCAGAGCTAAGTATAGGGTGTGGTGCATGGCGGTTACCATTACCCAGGATAAAAGCTCGTAGGCCGCAGACCGGGGTTCGACGCCCTGTACGCGAACTATAATGTCGGAGTAGTTTCTATTTTGTTCCACTTCAATTTATCCTAGATCTGTGCAGCTTCCTCCGAATCCAAGCCACATCAACCACAAATTCTGTACATCTATTTGCGCGGGCGGGTGTGTTCGAAACTTGTGGAGGAGCCTGTCATACTATGACAGTATTTATCACTGAATATTACGTACATGTTGTACAGTACATCATAGACATTCAATCCAAGTTAAAATGTACAACGTGAACCGTCCAAGCACCATAATTCGTACGGCGTGAACCATGCACGTGCACCAAATCGTACTTGATGATTCGTACTCTCTGATCCTGCTCTCTGTACTTATTTCATGCTCCATAGATATCGTCCTGATCCCAATGTGGTTCCCTGAGCCGAGTACCGAGGTCGTGCTGGTTCAACTGATTTTCCTAAAGCAGTAATATCCCACACTGCGAGACTAATTTGGTGGTACAGGGTCCGAGAGTCCAGTATAGCAAATTGACATGCAGCTACTCCTGGTATCGTGGTTTTTTGTGTGGGATGATAAGCCATCACACGGGATGGCTCGCAAGGATCCGCCGGGCATTTGTTCTAGGTAAAAGCAGGTTTTACAGTGCACGATGTACCAAATGTAATTTGGTGCACATGCATGTTCAACGAACTATGTATACACACAAACTGTGTCCACCTGGTACGAAAATGAGAAGGAATTGACGGTACGAAGCACGAATCCACGCACGAAACACAACCACAGAGTACAGCACCACGTAGAATGAACCTCGGTCAAGGATGTACATAATTTTCTATGAAAAATGCTTTTATAGGGTTGAGATGCCGCCAGTATTGGTTCAAGTTGAACCCCGCGGCCGAAGGCAGTTGAAATCGACCCTCCTTTACCGACACGTGTTCACAGCTAAACATCGGGCGTGGTGCACGGTGCACGGCGGTTGCAATTTCGTCGAGGGAAAATAAGAAAATGTCGCAAACCGCAGACCAGGGTTCGACTCCCCGCGCCCGACCTGGCCCATTCCCGCTTGAATTTTTTTCTCCGTCACCTCATTCATCAGTCCAGTTACGAGTTGCAATTCATGCAGCAGTCCAGAAAATCCAAGGTATTTCTCTTGTTTGGGGGACATACAGATTATGCTAATAATCGGGTGTGGTGCACGGTGCACGGCGGCTAATAGTACTGCCAAGCAGATTCTGCAAGCCGCAGACCGGGGTTCGACTCCCCGCGTCCGATCTAAATCACCTGTTGAGTGTTTTTTCCATTTACCTCACTCTGGTCCGTCCAGCAATCGAGGTACAGTTCAAGCAGCAGTGACACACTCCAGAAAATCCCAAATATTTGGTGGAAATGCATATCTTTAATTCTTGGAATCACATGCGCTAATAACCGGGCGTGGTGCACGGTGCACATCGGCTCCCACTGATCATGATAACAACGATGCAAGCCGCAGACTGGGGCTCGACTCCCCGCGTCCGACCTATGTCATCGTGGGTAGAACTTTTTTTGCCAGCATCGCGTTACAATCCAAACAGCATTGCAGTTCAGAAAATCCCAAATATTCCCCTTACTTCGAGGAATGCAAGTCTTCATGGAATCACAGATGATGCTGATAATCGGGTGTGGTGCACGGCGTACGGCGGACCGTCAGTGATTAGACTCTGAGTCTAACCAGTCTGCTTAGGAATAGAAAACATGAGGCATGCATAGCAGACGGGTATTATTCGGAGCGGTGGTGGTACATGGATACTTTATTCTCGGTATTACATCGTAATCCCTATTGAAACATCAGTATTTATTTACAGACCTTCTCCAAGGATAACTTCAAGGGCAGGCCACTCATGGTCAACACAAAATCCTTGAATACTCCATGGATGAAATGGTAACCTACCGGAAGCTGTACGAAATTCTCTGTAACCCAGCACGTCAATTCCAAGGAGAACACCTGACCAGGAGACTTACCAAGGCGGCAACGTGGACAGTGGCTTTGTTTTCGGCGGACTTGCTACCGCAGACGCCTACAGAGATCGGACAAGACTCACTTTTAGCACATCGAGATAAGCCGGGATCTAGGCAGTAATATCAAGGGGTGAGTTTTGCGGGGGCGCGGTCAAAGGAACCGACGGACGGCGGCGGTGGCGGCGCGTCCCCGTAGAAATCTCCAACAGTAGACGCAGCGGAAAATCGTGGGCTGCTGGGATCTGGGGCCTGGGTCTCATGTCAGTGCTCGTGTCGCAATTATCGACGCAGGAAGAGTACGCAGGCGTTTGTTCCAATGGTCGGGAAATACCTGAGCCTGCACCACATAGACGTAGTAGGTCGGGCGGTCGAGAGCGCGGAAGGGGCGGTGCATGTGGTGGTGGTCGCAGGGCATTTATGTATAGCCTTAATGGCGTGGAAGGATATCGGTGGAGCGCGGATGAAGCGGGAGGGTATCCTGGGTAGAGATATTCCTCTCGGAGGGTCGGTTGCGTCAATGAGCGGCGCAGGTGGATGGTCGTGTGTTCGGGGTTGCTGACGGCGCATGGCGGCTCCATTTGACGATCTCGATCATCTCCATCGTGTATATACCGCAGACCGGGGTTCGACTTCCCGCCCGAACTAGGCTCATAGCGGGGTGAGTTTTTATTTTGTTCTTCTAATTTATGCTACATCCAGGCTGAATCCGCCTCGCATCAACCAGCAATTCTGTACATGTATTCGCGCGGGCGGGTGTGCTCCGTGCTCGAAAATTTTGGCAGGCCTGGGAGCCGTACAATTGGTTGAAACGGCCGCTGCCTCGCAATCGCGTCGACTCGGAATGGACTGTAGTATGTACTTCACCGGCGCGTGTTCAGAGGAAACTATCCGGCGTGGTGCATGGTGCACGGCGGTTACCATTGAGATTACAGAATCTTGCAAGCCGCAGACCGGGGTTCGACCCTTGCTTATCACCATATATATCACCAGTTGAATTTTTTCCTCCTTCGCCTCGCTCTGGTCAGTCCAGTATCGAGTCGCAACTCAAGCAGCACCACCGTTCAGAAAATCCGAAATATTTCTCTTGTTCGGCGGAAATGCACGTCTGCTTGGAGCCTCATATGCTAATAATCGGGTGTGGTGCACGGTGCACGGTGGCTAATACTGGGTGTGCAGATGCTCTAATCTGATAAGCTGCAGACCGGGGTTCGACTCCCCGCTCCCGAATAATCCACCACAGCATCTCTTTTTTCGCCTGCAGGCAATTCAATGGACCCATATGCATTCTCACAATTAAAACCATCATCCCGTCTCCTCAGCTCGAGTAAGGATGATTACAGGTCCCGAGGGTGAAAGATCAGAATCGAACCCGGCTTACATACCGAGGCCCGTTCAAAGCTAAATATCGGGCGTGGTGCACGGCGGTACCCACTGGATGAAGACCGAGGAAAGCCGCACACCGGGGTTCGACTCCCCGCGCGCAAACTATAATGTCGGCGTAATTTTTATTTTTTTCCACTTCTAATGTATGCTAGATCTAGGCAGCTTCATTTGAATGCGAGGCGCATCTACGAGCAATTCTTCTATAGATGTATCCGCGTGGGCGGGTGTGTTCGAAATTTTTGTGAGGCCCGAGAACCTTGGACTTGCAATTGGTTGCAACGGCCTCGCGAACGCGTCGACTCGGAATGGACTGTAGTATTTTACCAACGCGCGTTCAGAGAACACAATCGGGCGTGGTGCACGGTGCACGGCGGTGACCAGTGACCACTTGGTTAAGGCGGGAACGTTGCACGCCGCAGACCGGGATTCGACTCCCCGCATCTGATTTGAACGGGTGGAGCTGAGGCATTTTCCTTTCGGTAAGTAATCAATAAAACTTTATATGTACGACCCGAGGCGGGCGGAAATTATCCAACAAAGGAGAGCACTATGATGGGTAGGAAGTTGCAGTGCAGCGGGTATATCGGCTGCGTCGTGTAAGCTAGTTTCCGCCGCACCGTCATGTAAGCTGATATTTTTCGCATACTTAGTTCATTCGGGATGGTTCGCTGTGCAGAAACTTGCGCCTCTGCAAGTAGCGACACGTCCTACTCGTTGCCGAGCCATCAGACGAGCCACCCGTGCTCGAAGTCCTCCGAGTCGACAAGCACGCCGTTGCGCAGCTTCACTTGCTGGCGGCTGTAGTACACCCACGCAAAGTCGAGATAGAACACCGTTTGAACGAGCCCGCACAGAACGCGATGGGATCGACTACGCTTTCGAAAACGTAACGCCAGATCCAGTTCAGAATGTACAGGGCGCGATACGAACCGAGCGCGAGCAGGTAGCGCGAGGTGATCACGGTCGGGACGGTGGTTTGCCGCAGGAGGATGAGTTGTGGGACGACGCATACGGATTCCAGAGCAATGGAGAAGAACCACAGGATCTAACGTGTTGGGTTAGTACAAATAAAGATTAAGGATATGGCTCGTACCTCGGTCAGAGTAAAGCCATAATTGAAAAGAGGGAGAACAGGCAAGCAACTATGAGCGAAATACCGGCTGCCCGCCGAGCCATTTGTCTCTCGGGTGTGCGGCGATAGATCCAGCGCATGAGCACAAGGACATAGAATGCCGATACGATGTAGACGATTTTTAGAACGGTGTTGTAGACAGAGACGAAGCGCATGCCAAGGTCGAGGTAGCGCGTGAGGAACACAAGCGTGTACATGGCCTGTATGAGGAAGGAAATGCCCTCGGACGGCGTGGGTGATGTGAAATGCCTACTTAGACGGGGTGCCACTTACCTTCGGCGCTTTTATTCCGGTGAATAGACCAGATGAGAATGCATTTCGAGACCATGTGCGCCAAATCGCCCGTGAAGGAGTTCATCGAGTGTATCTGGAAACTACGCAGCAAACTGGTTCAAAAAGGTCGAAAAGTCGGATACCGCGCGAAGAGGTGGACGTGGAAGGACGTGGAAGGACGGGAAAAGACGACGTGGAATTCACACGGCTTTAAGGATGTAGCCTCGTGCACAGCCCGCACACGTCCCTGCAGATAAGCGCCCCAGATCCAGATCATTACTGCCGCAGTGCTGAATTCCTTTGTCCCTGAACGAGGGGTTTCTGTCCCATGCTCTATAAAGGAGTCTAAGAAGAAAATAAATTAACATCTGGGTGTATACTATGAATCGAAGTGTACATCCTTCTCCCCCCCCGTCACTACGGCCGATCCTCGCGGCCCCAAATCAAGGAGGATATACGAAACACGGCAGCACGACACATTACGAAAGCACGGCACATTAGCTCAATGTGCCGCCTTTGGTTCAGAATGTGTCGGGTTTGGTTCTAAATTTGAACTGCCATTAATCTTTCCATCCCACACAAGTCCCTTCAATAGCATTACAAGATACCTGGGCCTAACACTAACCACTAACACTAACCACTAACCCTAACCCCCTAACCCCTAACCCCTAACCTCTAACCTCTAACCCAAAACCCTAACAAATCCTAACCGCTAACCCGTGTGAATGTGCCGTGTTCGAGCCTATTTTGGCCTATGTGCCGTGGATCCCTATGCATGTGCCGGGGATGTGTTGACTGCGACACTGTCAAAGTCAGACTCGGCTAGGTAGGTTCTTACGAGTTACGACACTGTCGTCACTTGCGACACTCTGATGCGCTGACGGCGGGTCAAATTAGGAAACTCAACATTATTTTTCTCCTCAATTGCGCGAAGGGGACCAACCATTCAATGCCCCTCCCCTCCCTCGCTCCGCTCGGGGGGTCCCCCAAACCGGGGCATTTCAGGTTGGCAGTCTAAAGCCTCGTTCTCGCTTCAAGTATGTCCTTCAATCCTAACTTTAACAAACCCTAACCCTAACTCTAACCAAACTCTAACCAAAACTCTAACTTAAACTCTAACCACACACTACACTGCTGATACCCGCAGTTAGGGCGCGCTGCGCTTGCCCTAACCGCTCGAAATGGTATTTACACGCTAATTCCGAGCTGATGACAACATTTGATCCCCCATCACTGTGTCGCAACTGGTGACAGTGTCGCACAAGAGGTGAACGATCCTGTTATCGCGCACACGATGAACAACACGTGACTAGAAGGGGGCCACAGAGGTAAATATTTGCACCTGTATTGGCCACCAGTACACACGGCGACCCACCGTGACTTGGTCGCGTCTATCCAAGGGCGCGCGACGTGTCGTGCACGCCTTCGGTGCCTTGGCCCAGTCTCCTTGAAACAATTGGAGTCTCTAGCAAGGAACAGTTGGGCTTGA